AAAGTGAGGCAGAAAAATATCAGCAAAACAATAGAAGAGGGTAATAGAAGAGGGTGAGATGCCCAGGTTCAGCAACATAACCTAATGTTGCAGCAGCAGTTTGAGACCATAGGGATAAAGGAATACTGCATCTTTAAAATGCTTGAAGGCTTGAGAATGTGTCTTTTCTGGATTTTGTTATTCCAGACCTCCACGCTTACACAGCGGAAGTGTTGGAGCGTGTGTGCTTTCTGATCTGCCAAACAATCGTCTTGCTTGGTGTGGTTTTAACACAGCCCTGCTTGGCTATTGAGAACTTGAAGTTTCCAGTGACCAGTAGCTGAAAGAGGCCAAAACTTAACGTGTGATGTTTGCAGCAAGGCATAGGAGTTGATTTAAAACAAATGAAAACCAGCTTTGAGGTTAAAGGAACATTTGAGGAATCAAGACATCAGTGGTGGTGGTAGGCTATGAATTAGACTGAGGAGCTGTGCGTCCCCACCACCCCTGGGTGCGTTGTTACTTCATCACTGAACGGGAGAGGACTGGTGGATCTGGTTTGTAGACCAGTGCGAGGTCCTTAAGCACATGGGAGTAGAAGGTTTTGTTGGGAAAAAAAAAGGGTTCATGAGGAAGAATTACTCACAGGAATAAGGATTTGCAGGTTCAGGTCCCGTGCTTGCACCTCTTTGTTAGTTAGAACTTGAACAGCAGGTGTGTCCTATGGAAATGGCTCAGAACGTGGTCATGGGAGTGTTTGGAAGCCTGTGAAATCGTGGAGAATTAGGGAACGGGTGGTAGGTGGCTCACGCAATGCAGTGACTGCTTCTTGCAGTTCTAGCTCTTTGCCCTGTCGGCTGACACAGACAATCTCTTACCTTCTGCTGTTACATGACTCCTGAAGGCTAGCTAGCTCTTTATTTAAATGTAACTTAGAATTCTGTCATCAAAACACTGATGTTTTTAATAGAAATGTACTATATGGAAGTTTGTTCTCAGGGCTTCGTATTTATACTCTCTTTATAGGAGGGTGCATTTAGTGAGGTGTATTTGGAAAAAATGCTGGTGGCCACTTTACAACTTGGACCTTGATTGTCTTGACCTGTGAGACCAAACTGGTGTAGCTCCCAGTAACCCTCCAGGGACTGGTTCAGGCCAAAGCAGCTGCCATTCCCTATCTCCCTGTGAGCAGCAGAGTGAGTCTTCTGAAGGCTGCAGCATCGCTGTGTGGCGATGATCACACAAGATTACCCAGCTGCTGCACAGCTTGCTGATCTTCACACCAGTTCAAGGATGCCTCTGTTCTCCACGCAGCAGGAAAATTAACTGTGCAGGGTTTCTAAAGCAGTAATGGGTGCACTTCTGCTCTTCTGGGAGGTGCAAGGTTTGCTCCCACAAGGCAACCTCCGGCTGATTGCTGCTCTTTGGCTGTCAGAGGCATGTCCAAAACCTTGACCCCCGCTGCTTTCCTCGCTCTCCTGGAACCAAACTTGTCTTTTGGAGATTGATCTCCATAGCCAAGAAACATTTAAGTGGTTATTGAAATCCTCTTTAGTTGGGACTGTTACTATTATTTTTATTTTTTTTAGGCATTGATTCATGAGCTGAGGATCTTTTAATATATTTTGAAAGTTGTTTAACCAAGCATTGCACCAAATGAATGTATAGTAACACTGTCAGCAAACCTTGCCTGTGGAAGAGATACGGAGGTTACCAGGAATCTCCTCTGCAGTGGGAATTTCCAAAAGTCGCATGCACAGGATAGTGAGTGTTTCATCCAGAGTAAAGGCCCTGGTTTTCTACTTTTAATAAATAGCATTTTTATTAACTAGCAGAGTAGCGGCACTTGCAGCTGGGTGTTTCCATCTGATCACAAGTCCTTGTGCTTTGAGGCGTAAGCAAACCACTGACGGGCTCCTCCTCTGGGTGCCGATTGTTCACTGAAGGATTTTTGGCTGTTGGCAGTAGCAATCCCCTCCTTGCTGCAGAGGAGAGTGTGAGCAGCGCGTGTTGTGTCTACGTGAATGTGCCGAGGAGAGCGCGAGCAGCGCGTGTTGTGTCTACGTGAATGTGCCATCATGGTGGTGGTTCTCGCCCGCATCCTGACATCAAGGTATGACAAAAAGGGGTTTTTTAAGGACCTTTTGCCCTAGATTTGAAGGTCTTTAATGCAGATCCTGTTTGCAGCGTGTCAACTTCAGTAAATGCATTCAGTTCTTACTGAATTTGGGCATAGTTTTATATCGTGCTCTGGGGAGAGGGAAGAAATTGGATCATGTTTTGAACTAAGCCTCACAAAACAAAGTGTCTTTGCAGCAGGTATCAGAGGCCTGTAGAGATTTTCCATTTGCATATTTTTATCATAGTTTAATGAACTGTACGAGAATGTGATTTGTTATCCGGCACTTCCCACAAGGCAGCACCAGTAAAATTATATCGCAAGGTACTGACTTAACATTTTTTCATTTCACCTGTGTATAAAACAATTAGGTTCGGCATACGATGATTTTTAAATGGCGCTGACACCAATGCGTGGCATGTACAGCTGTTTCCAAGATGTAACATTACTTTTATGCAGCTTTTAACCAGGATGGCCGTTACCAAGCCTGTGGCATTCAGGGTTCATTCTGGATGTGCTCCTGTGGGTCGCTGACCTCCTGTACGCTTCCCCTCCAGGCCAAAAAAACAAGAAATGTTCTTAATTTGTTATATTTCTAAGCAGTCGCTGAAATATATTCCTGGAAGTTATTGAGGTCATTAGCAAAGCCAGATCTGTTCAAATTGAAACAAATTGAGTGTGGAGAAGTCGCACCCACGAGTGAGACTAGAATGAATGCTGAGTCTTTAAACCTGCTCACACATACGCACTGAAGACACTGACATGATGTGTGTTGTAAATTTATAATATATCTTAAAAATAAAGTTTTTTTGATTTATTACAA